GACGCGTCAATGCAAGATGTCGTGCGCGAGCGGTTTAGACATATTTTATTTGTAACATATTAATTAATTTATGATAATTTGATGAATATATAAGTTAGTTTTGCATATGCCACGGTAATTATTATTCTGCACCTTCCATTTGTTATGCTGCTTCAATTTATTGCGGATTAACGCCGTTTGAACCGATTTAGAGACTTTCAAAATGTCTTTGTACGGAATTAATTCAGTTGTAAATTTTATTTGAACGTTGGTTTGCAGTTTGTCTGTTGAGTATTTTTGTAAAATTCGAGATATCTTTTATCCGTAGGCTTAGATTATTTGCCATTGATGCTCTTTATCACCTAGCTTGTAACGCTGAACTAGGCGGTGTGAGATATTGTTCTCACTTGCACCAAATTGTTATGTGACATCTGCGATAGGTTGAGGTTCAGCTCTGTTCTCCGCATATAAATAAATCAGAACAAAATTTTTGTCATGTACATTCTTGATGATGTTTTCATTAGTTTTCGCTGTAGACTTTATGATATTCGTTCGTGTTTATTGTGAAATGTTTCATTTTGAATACTTCATGGAATGTAGTCGTAATTGTAATTGTAATTGAATGAATATCATCAATTCGTAATGACAATCGAATAATAAATAATGTTACAATTTTCAAATAATATTACATGCATTGTGTCCACAGCGGAACTTCCAAATAAATCAAATTTCTATGCTTCTGCATAGGTGAATGAAATTAGGTTCTCTTCACGAAATGCTATTGAGCAGTAGTTTATATGATGGAATATTGGTTGAGGTGTGAACTGTGAACGTATTTCCAGCCGAAACGTACTGGAAACCGGAACGTTTGATATTCAATTAATACTCTTGCTGCTAAGACCACTACTATTAATATGCAACTTTTATTTAGAATATACACTTCTTGTATCACAACAAATATTCATTACTCTGAATAGGATTCCACGGGAAACTGCAACAAAACAGAACAAAATTAAAGTACAAAAAACATTTAAGAACCCGAGATTCGCACTTACATACAGTCATTATTAAACGTCACAATGGAAACGAACAAAAAGTCTTATTAACAAATGTAAGCAGAAGCAGCAGCAAAAGGCAGAGGATATAGGAGCACCAGGATATCACGAAGGTAGTCACCGAGCGAAGACCACTTGGGTCGGATCACCTTATGAGATTCTTCAAATCTTCATTGAAGAGTGTTGAACTGCGTACGCTGATGCGTGAATTTTGAAGCCGTACAAACTGAAGAACAAAAACAATAATAATAGAAACGAACAATTTTTAATTGTGAGTGCGAACTGCGCGATACAAATTTGATCTACTTTTGTGAAATAGTTAAATATAAAACGATGCACTAAGAATATTTCATTACAAATGAAATTACGAACACTTTTGTGTGTTCGTTATTTCCAGTTGAACAAATGGAATGATAGAATAATTTTTGCTGATCGTGAGGAATGACCACATTCAGAAGAGATTTTCGCGTTGCAGAAAATAAGTTTTGCGGCCAAACAAAAGTCTTCTTCCTTACCGCGAAACGAATTTATTGGTGGGTCGTTGAGGGCGCAGTTCCGGATGGACGAAGAAGAGCATATGCTGAAACCCAGTGCCGAAATAGGCTCTGTCCGTGAAGTGGTTACGCGACCGTCGAGGCGTATAAACGTCCATACATTTCGGGAGTACAAATTCACAATTGCCTCACCGGAGATATCCAACATTCCTGTACGAAAGAACGCATTTTTTAAAAGTCCACTAGATTTGAATAGCCGATAATTGAATAATATATCACCGTAGCAATCATCATCTGGCGAAATTCTAATGAAAATCTCCTCTATTTCCTCAAAGCAGGAGAAGAACTCTGAATAGGTCTTTCAAAAAAATATCTGTGATAAGATACCAATCGGTAGAAGATCCTGTGAGTCGCAAAACACTGTCGGACAGCGGCCAAAATCCCCGGCTAGCCATTTCTCGATCATCTGCTCGATGCCTCGATTGGTGAGTATGTAGCGAGCATGAATCAGCCCGTACAACATTGCCGCAGCCTGCTCCACCAATTCAGCGTTACAATCGGTTGTGTTCAATTCAGCATCTGTAAAAATAAATCCAATAATGACTCTACAGATTTGAACGTATAAGTGCAATACACATGAACCATAACCAGACAAAAATTTCTTCACGAAATTGAGTACTTTTCAAGTAATACTTCACTCTGAAAATACCCATTAAATGCGAACAAAATGAAATATTATTCGCTTATATGTGCATTTGCAAATGTCAGTAATTTTTCACATTTGAGGAATACAGATGGATAGTTACACTGTCAAAAGAAATAATTCATTTATGTAGTTCTAGCATAAGGTCCGCCGAACACAAAGGAATGATCAACTGCATGAAGCTGAGCAATTTCTGAACAGATCTCGATACTCTGTACTGAATTAGTGAGCAGTGAATACATGTAGTTAGACACATGTGTCAAGAGAAAACCGCAATTATTTGCGACAAACACGTGCCTGGTTCAAAGTCCAAGATCATGTCGTAGGCATGACTGAAATGTGGTACTTGCTCGGATAGACCAGTCAGGTTGAACTTATCCAGAAGATAATCATCATCAACCTGGAATCGATTCCAGGATTACTTCAGATCAGACAGGTCATACCAGCCAGTTTGTCAGCTATTTATTCACTCCAACGACTGTAGACAAATGTTGGGCAGAATAAAAATTGCCACAGATAGAAGAAGAGGACGAAATCTTGACTGATAATCACCAGGCAATAAACGAACCTCACAGAAGAACTCATTACCACGAAGACCGCAAAACCACGAAACCCAACTTGGGTCTACATCATCTGAACTACTCATAACAGGAGTATTAATGCAAATATCTCGATTCGTCAATTCGAATATCTTCTACAATCACCAGACACTGAACAATCAGATCCGCTAACAACACCTCCAGGCCACAGGCAAGAAGAACCACCGGAAAACTGCGCCCGAAAATTGAATTGCTCAATTAGTTCCGATTGCTCTACGACAATTTGCTCAACGACAGTGTGCCACTTCGGCAATTTGCACTGCGAAATTTTATGATTACACGTGCATGATGATTGAGTAGAATGTCGGAGTTAGACTTGTTACATTTGCTCGTTATTCAACGAACACATCCATCTATCTATCTATCTCTCAGCTGAGAGTGTACAGGCGAACAAGTGTGTACACGACCCATTGAAGTGTACACGGCGGCCCATCAGCCAACAGCATAAATGGCCGTCTCTAAATGTACACTCACAACAGTTCACTTCGCCAAATGACCAAATCCGCATTTTTATTCAATATGTGCTCTGAAATATGCATTTCTTAACAATTAAACCGAAATGAATCCATTAATTATCATTTTGTTGCGATGCATATCCAACAGAGTAAACATTTTATGTGCAGAATCGACTCGAATGGAATATTTAGCTTGAAATACAACAGTTTTTTTAAGAAATATTAAAATAGGTGTTACCCACCTATCCATTTTATGAAGGAACATCATGTAAACGTTATCTGTTTCCGTTTGATTTAGTGGTAATTGTATGAAAAAGCTAGCGTATTCGTGGTTCATAGTTTTCATCGTACATAAGTGGTTAGGCATGAGAACACTGCTATTTGTATGTGTTCTCACATTATCAGCTGAGTCACATTGTGTGCAACGTTACGCAATTTTTTCGTAATGTTATGCTCTGTGTTTGTTTTCGATAGTTTTATGCTGCGTATTAATTTTACCATTATTCGATTATTTAACCGGCAATAGATAAAAGCCAAATCATAACCTATTTGCTCAAGCTCACAACATCAATGATATTGTGATACAGCACTCGGTTTCCAGTGAAACTTTTCTTGTGCCGTTCGCGAAAGAAAGAAGTTTTGCTCGTTGAAATCAAATGGTGTACCGATATCTTTTACCGTTATTAATTAATTTATTCAATCAGCAAATCTAACAGTTCATTACGAGTTTATGCTCTTTGTTATCACGAATATCACTAAAATCACATTCTTCCTTCTTTGAATCCTTTCCACGCAGCTTACAATATAACAATCTACTGTCTTCATGAGATTCTAACTTCCATTATTGATAAATTTGACGAGTGCTGAGGTTTTCGGCTACTCTCCCGTATTGCCCAATGAATTCTAGGGAGAGGCACTGAAAAAGAGCCCGAAAATATTGTTATTGACGTTATTGTCAACACAAAACTGTGTGCTTGCAATCAGTATTATTCAGATATCCAGATAAAACAGTTATAATGGGTGTACCGAAGTTCTACAGATGGATCAGTGAACGGTATCCGTGTTTGAGTGAGATTGTCACCGATCGACAGGTGACCATTCTTCGTCTTTCCTACTGATTTTTTTGATGCTTTTGTTGGTTTGTTCACATATTCCATTGGTTTCCTCATCGTATGTCTTGTTTTGTTCAGATACCAGAATTTGATAACCTCTATTTGGACATGAACGGCATTATACACAGTTGTACGCATCCAAACGATGACGACGTCTCGTTCAGAATCTCTGAGGAACAAATATTCCGAGATATTTTTCATTATATTGATGTGAGTTCTATGATTAGAATTATTTTTAAAGTTTTTAATGCAATGTTATGGTGGATATTGTTAATGTTAATGTAAATCTTAATTGTCATTTTAATTCACCTTCGCCGTTTTGATGGAACAGAGCTTGAACTATTGAGGAATATGCTCTGCAGATTTGTTAGATGTTTATATTTGTTTTGGTTTTATATGATTAGTCAAATTTCAGACGCTCTTTTCAATAATTGAACCAAAGAAGGTGTTCTTCATGGCCATTGATGGAGTGGCTCCACGGGCCAAAATGAACCAACAGAGAGCACGACGTTTCATGTGAGTTGTGAATTATTTATTGATGTGATTGGTTGGTTAGCTAGTGGATTGGATTGCAATTTGATTTGCGCTTGTAAATTTTTGGAATATTAAATTACGATTTTAATAATTGGAAACAAGCGACATATTTGATTTATATGATATTGATGGCTATGTTGGGTGGGTTGTAGTCAAGATATGTGCTCAAGAATAGGATTGCAGGTCTGCAAAAAATGCCGAATTAGCCATGAAAGTGGCCAAAAGTAAAGGGCAAGAAATACCTGAAGAGAAGCGTTTCGATCCCAATTGTATCACACCAGGTTTCGTTTTGATATCTTATTCGAATTTGATACTTTGATTCAATTCTTTTCGTCTGATTTCTAGTTGTTGATATTATTGTTATTATTGTTTTGAAATGCAGTTGCGATATCGTCATAAATATTGCTTATATTATTGTATTGTAATTTAAGAGTTGCTTGAAGTTAAGTTCGACTTTGACTTTGTTTTAGGAACCGAATTCATGGCTCGTCTCCACGAACAGTTGCAGTATTTTGTAAAAATGAAAGTATCTACAGATGTAGCATGGCAAGGGATAAGAATTTATCTCTCTGGACATAATGTGAGGAGTTTTTGTGGAGTTATTCGTTGATTTGTTTAATTTATTAGTTAGATGATAAATAGTTAATAATAATAAGTATTAGTAGTTGATTATTTGACATGGTTATTCGGCAGTGTGTTAGTATTGTTATGAACATT